CCCCAAAACCCCAAAACCCCAAAACCCCAAAACCCCAATCCCAAAAAAATATTGAAGTTTTATTAGTTATATAAATTTAGTACAAAAAACAGGAACATGGGTAATTCAGAGAGATGTGGCCTCAGCAATTACACAATTCGTATAGATAAGACTAAAATAATGAGAAGAGACACCTTAGTGCATAGAGAACGTAAATCCATGCTCAAAGGTAAGTATCGTGCTATACTTTAGTCAAAAATCAGAGCTCACACTTCCGTAAAAGAAAGTCCATCAATAGACCAAAGTTAAACTTCAACTTAATACAAGCACAAAGTTGTCTCGGTTCCAAACATGAAGGTAATTTTTAGCCATAAATCTAAAGACAAGTTACAGTTTTTCGGAATACAAAACCAAGTACAGGGAAAGGATAAGAAGTATATGACCTTTCACTCCGAAAATGGAGATGAACAGAAAGAAGACAATGTAAGCTATATATTAAGTAACCCCTAGAGCGGCTGGAAGACTGTCTTTGAGTTCATTAACTCCAAGAACTTTGATAAGAAGGTAAGCAAATAGAATACAAGTAGAATGACCCATTTTAGATTAGCGAATTCAACGAAGCAAAAAGGATGGAGATGGCCAATAAAATAGGCACCATGACTGATAATCACCCTTTCTTTAAGAACTTGAAAAACTTAGCGAAGAAGGTAAAATGTTGCCTCTAAGAAGTATAGAGACGGAGTAGAGCTGTAATCCAGATTAGAGATAGGTCTTTAAATTCTAATGGAATCAATACAAGTTCATTGTACGCTAGATTATTTTTAAATTTTAGGAATCAAACAAGTAAATTTATAAGCTCATATTCAAGTGACATCGAGAACAAAATCCGCTTTGGATGGATACAAGAGGAAGACTATTCATAATAATCTAAGTACGAAACTTTTCATAAACCCTATGTTATTATAATATCTGACTAATACTTCATAGAGCATAAAAGGTTTTTAAACTCAGCTATTGATTTCTCTGAAGAACAAGAGTAAGTCTTTTCATGGTGTAGGAGAATACATAACGTCTAGTCCTAATCAAAGACGAACTCTGAAGAACGACAGACTTTCGTATATGATAAATCACCATAGTTTTATGTTCAAGAATTCCCAGCACAATTTTGCTGGGAAGGATTCGTCAGCAGACCATACTTCCAATATGCCTTTTAGAATAAGTGTAATGAAAGCAAATAGCGACAATTCTGGTAGCTTTACAAACTAACTTTAGATGAACGGAAGAGCCAAACAATAGATTCTATTATAGACCCATCCATAATACTACCAGGAAATCTCTGTCCTGAGATTATCAGCAAGGCCAAGGGCACCTCTGTGATTCCAAGGTATTCACAGGACATCGGAATTTGAAGTGATAGTAGTGTCTCAAAATAAATCCTTCGAGTCAACTTCCTCTAAAGTATCCAAAAACAGCCGTTTTCTAGACGGAATGAGATTCTCTTTGAGTAAAATTCCTTCTAAATTTTAGGAGATTGAGATAGATATGATATAAAGTACTACAATAAATAAGAAGAGTTTCAAAATAGCTAAGAAGCGGAGGAGCAAATCTTTAGACAACTTAGGCAAGTTCTGCTCCAATTTGATGCGGTGTGCTAAGCAGGAGAAGAAATAAATCTAAAGAACGTAAGAGAAAACTCCTCAATGCTAACCATTCTTCTTTGTCTAAAAGATCAAAGAAGCTTAACAAGAGGATGGAAATGCTCTCTTCTCGTACCAAGAAAACTCGCAAGATGAGTAAGCTAGTCATAAAATTTTAGAATATCAGAATAAGCCTAAGTTCTTAGGTCCTGAAGTGGAAACAGATAGCTTCTTTAGCGATAATAAAAGCGGTAAGCCATTGGAAGATGTATAGAAAAATCTAAGATAAGCACAAAAATCAAGAAAAATAATCCTAAACCTATTTTTAAGGTACATGACAGCTGATTTTTAGAAAAAGAATATCCCAAACTTGGATCTAAGGCCAAACTCTAGAAGCAAGAGGAGGGAGAGTCTTGGTATTACTATACATAAATTGTTTAGAAAAGCCAATGCTTCCTACAGTTTCTCCACTTGTAAAGCCAGAAGATAAGAGTAACGAAAATCCTCAGGATGTGACAGAGCAGAATAGGGGATCATCACCGGCTGTATTAGTTCTTCGAGAGAACAATACACTTAATCTCTCTAATCTTAGAATCAGAAATGAGAATAGGAAAGAAGAAAATGAAAAAGATTCAAATCTCAGCACTATTAGATCAGTGACAATCCAAGATGAAAAGACTGATACTAAAGGAAAATTGACTAAAACAGACCTCGATGAGATAAATATCTTTGGTTCTAGACTTGGCGATGCTATCCGGAGCCCAATAGTTGAAGAGCTTGCTCTTAAGGAAAAACAAAAGAAATTCAATAGAACTGAGAAAGGATCATTTTTGTCTAAAAGATCAAACCTTCCTATTGCTACTCTGGCTCAAGGAAGCTTTAGGCTTCCAAGAAATTTTGGGAATATCAGAATCAAGGTAGGATCAGCTTCAAGCATAGAATATCAATAATTCAAGGAACCTCAGTATAAACAAGAGAGTGTCTAAAGACTGACGGTCCTTGGAGCCTAGGCTAAGTGCTGCGAAATAAAAGTCCTTCTAAGTACTCAAAATATTTAAACCTGTAGACGAGGAATGTCTACTACATTCTGAAGGGATCCAAGACTAAAAGATTACCGAACAAATACAAGAATATAGAAAAACTAGCTACTCCGAATAAGCCCTTCTCCAAAATAGACACTAGGAAAAATACTGCCTCAAGATCCAAGAAAATGTCTAGTGTTCACAGGCCTTGTAGGATAAATATAACCTGTATAGTATCTCCAAATGATAGAATAGTGAGCTGTTACTCTCCAGTAAATGCCATCCCGCTCAGTAAAACTAGAAGAGTCAAGAATGTTAGAATCAAGTATGATGGGCACTCTTAAAAATATAGGAAAAACAAGTTAAAAGTTTTTAATAAAGATCTGTAACTAACATTTTTAATTAAATAGAAAATCTGGGAAGAAGCTTGATAGATATAAACAGAGGAAAATTGTTCCAAGAAATACGATCTTTAGAAAGAAAGATAAGGAGATGTATAAAAGACTCAGGCTTATTATTGACAAAGATTTCAACATCAAAAGGGCTTCAAAAAGGTAATATTATCAAATTTTATTTGTAGAGGTCCAAGCTTAAGGCTTCAGATGAAAAATTCGAATGTAAATAGTCCAATTTCTCAACACAAAATGCCTGTATCAATTAATATTTCTCAAAATCGTCCATTGAGTCCCCAAACGAAAACATTTAATTTCCCAAATCCTTTCTCAGGATTCATTCCCCAAAACCCCCATAAAATCTCAGGTGGAAACTCCAACTCAAAATCCTCGATAGAGGACACAAGCTTGTTAAACCTAATGCTCAAAAGACCTCAATACAATATAAAATAACCAAATATTTCACAATTCTCAATTAATCCTACCCCTTTTGGGGTTTTGGGGTTTTGGGGTTTTGGGGTTTTGGGGTTTTGGGGTTTTGGGG